GTGTGTGTGTGTGTGTGTGTGTGTGTGTGTGTGTGTGTGTGTATGTGAGACTTTTGAAAGTTTCCAAATTGTAAACGAACGATGTTATAAATCTCATTTACTCCTTCCTTTTGACAATAATGAGCATTCGTGCAGAAATTACAAAGAACTAAAAGTTCCGAAACAATAATGTAATAGCAAAAGCTTGATTACATTTCGATTTTCATAAAATGCAATTTTATTTTTTTTTTATATTTTCTCTCTTTTCTTCTCACCTATCTTTTTCCTTTTGCTTCTTTTCCTTCTCCCTCCTTTTCTCTTTTTTCTCTTTTTTATTCTTCCTAAATTTTTCGTACTTAATTTAATTAATCTTTTTATTAACTGTGTAAGTCTTATATATAATATATAACAATGTAATTTAAATGTTATTAAAATTATATTTCATACGTATATATAATAAAATTTTCTTGATATATTTTTAATAAGTAATATTATTAATAAAGTTCAAGGACTCGTGTATATAGCTTTAATATATCTGTAAATCGAATTCAGAAAACTATATTTATAATATAATATCATATACTTGTATTAGAAATACTTAAGATATTATTTGTAGATTTTGTAAGTTTAATTCATATAAAATTAATAATAAATCTTTAATTCTTATTCTTATCACTATATGTATGTGTATATTTATATAATAATAAGAATAAAAATTAAAGATTTATTATTAATTTTATATGAATTAAGCTTACAAAATTTACAAATAGTATCTTGTGAGTATTTCTAATATTATATATGACATTATATTATAAATATATTTTCCTGAATTCGATTTATAAATTTTATATTAAAGCGTATTATACACGAATCTTTATCTATATATGTATATATATATAAATAATTATTTGAAGAACATTATCAAACTTACCGATAAAAAGGAAAAAGATGAGCAACCCGAGTTCCCTCATGGAGGCCTTGAGGGTCCGCCCGAGGATCTGAAGGCCTTTACTGTGTCTGGATAACTTGAATATCCGAAACACTCGGACCAGCCTGATCACCCTGAGTATCGCCAAGGACATCGCCTGGTTCGTACTTTTGTCTTGCGGGCTTACCGGTGCCTTGGGTAAATTTAGCGTGTCCTCCTCCTCAGCCACTACCGTGGCGAGAGTGATGAAATATGGAATGATCGCGATGATATCGATGATGTTCATTACGTCACGGAAGAAGTTGAATTTATTTGGGCAGGCGAGGAAGCGCACTGTTAACTCGAATGTGAACCAGATGATACAGATAGTCTCTATTAGGAAGAACGGGTCCGTGATGTCCGGCACTTCGTCCTCCTCGATTTTCGTGCCATTCGTCGTCGTGTTGAAGACCTTGTAGTGTTTGAACTCGGGTAATGTCTCCAGGCAGAAGATCACGATCGACAGGAGAATCACGAACACAGAGATTATAGCGACCACCCGGGCACCCTGCGAGCTTTCCGGATATTCGAACAAGAGCCAGACTTTTCTCTGAAACTCGTGTGATGGCAGCGGCTTCTCTTCCTCCTTGATGAAGCCCTCGTCTTCCCTATTTGATCGATTATCATTTCATTAATATCGATTATTTCTATTAAATTTTCTATAGACTATACTCATATTTGTATTTGTAGTGATATATACAATATTTAAAAGTTTTCTTTAAGAATTATGATCCCATAGAATCAAGGTGGTTTGGATACAAAATGTAGTTAAGCTCTGAAGAACTAACGACAAGTAAAGTCACATCTATATCGTGATATGAGAAAACAACTCTATTTCTAATTGCTAAAAAATTGTATATATCAAAGCAAAAAATATTGAGTATAATGTGTTTTAGGAAAACCATAGATACAAAAATCTGTGATGTTTCTAAGAAACAAAAATGTCTGTGAATTCAAGAATTTATGTAATAGAATTAAGAGAAAGCTGACGTTTACATTAATTTTATTTACAATAACTAGATTATATTAAGAACCAAATAGCTATGTTCGTACCTAAACTTGTTGGTAGCCATCTCGCCCAGTTCGTAGAACTTGATTTCTTCGGAGAAGACATCGAGCGGGACGTTGACCGGACGGCGTAGACGGCCGCCGCTCTGATAGTAGTAGAGTATGGCATCGAAGGAAGGTCGATTCCGATCGAAAAAGTATTCGTTGCGCAATGGATCGAAGTATCGGAGCCGCCGTGACGGATCGCCGAGCAGCGTGTCCGGAAATTGGTTCAGCGTACGCAGCTGTGTTTCAAACCGTAGTCCGCTCACCTGTCGATTGCAATAATCGATTATTGGTACGGTGGCGCCACGCTGGGCGGGGCGCACCATTCAAGCAGTTAATTGGAACGAAGGTGATTGTCGGGAGCTGTTCGTTTCACAAAGAGATTAACGTATTATTAGGGATTGTCACATCGATCGCGAGTGGACCACCTATTTAACATTGTTAACTTATATTGAGTAGCTTGACAATTTTAAAAGAAGATTCTCAAAATTTTGGAGAGATCTATATTTTGTTTTTAATGTTGAGAACCTTTTTCTAAAATTTTCAGACTATATATATATATATATATATATATGTATAAAAAGTAT